TCAAATGCTGAATCTTTCCTTCCTTTTCTTTCTGATAATAATATCTTCTTGTATTGGCCGTAAAATTGCACAGCATATTGCTCTGTGATAATTGCATGTGTGATTGTGCAGGTGGAGTACATTGCCTGTTCTGCTGTAGTCTGTGTTACAACTGTGTGGGTGTAACGTTTACTTAATTGTGCAAACGAACATTGGTTTTGAATAATTGTATTCAAAAGTAAAAATGTTCCAGGAGGGAAAATTAATCCATTTTCATCTTGTTGCTTCACTAACTGTGAAGATGAACTAGTCTATATCAAACAATTCTTAAAGTAAAATAAAGCCATATAATTTCTATAACAGAAAGATTTTTTGTTTTTTGTTTTCCCCACTTGTGGTGGTGTGTACAGTCCCTGTGCAGGGATCAGAAATCCATTGTACTGGGTATCCTGTGGCTGCTTATGAAAAACAGTGCTTAATTCCAGTTTTGAAAGCAAATTGTTTTCTATACCATCTCATTCTCAGGTATCTTCAGTATTTGTTTTACTTTCCCCTGAAGAACTTGGTATACATCTTAATTTTAGTTTTCAAAGAATGTATTCCTCTGTTCTCTTCTTTCTACTAATCTACATTTTTTAGCTCTGAATTAGCTGTTAAAGACCATAGTTTTATCTGTCCTGTTAAAGGTTGAACAACATGGTGTCAGCTGCCAGTTCTGAGAAAGGGATTTTCCTAGTTCCTGAGTTCAGAGGGCTTTCTGTGAAGCCTTTGGGATATCTCTTTGCATAACAGTCATGCTGTTTTTCTGTTAGGCAGAGAAGAAAAACTCAGGGGCAGCAACATGATTCATCCAAAACTCAATGGATGAGTTTTATAGGGCTCTCTTCTCATGGGGAGTCTCCTGAGTCGTGTGCTGTTCATCCCAGACACAGTAGGAAGGGTGATACATTTTACTGTTAATACACGTTTTTTTTCCCTAAGTGGTAAGCAGGAGGGCCAGCTGAAGCATTGTAGGAAATCTCCTGTTATTTGAGCAAATTGTACCCAAAAAAGTGCTATTCAGTGAACACACACAAGAGAGTATGACCACTGTCTTGTGCATTAACACCTGATCCACAACTTTGAATCATTGAAGAGAATTCAGTGGATAATTCAGCAATCCTAAAAGCAAGCGAAATACCAGAAATAAAAAGTGAATAGATGAGAGATGGAAAAAGAAAAACCTGTGCTGATTTAGAAACATATTTTCTTCCTCTCTTGGACATTTTTAAGCTACCTCATACCATGGTACATGAAGGGTAGAGTAGAACTAGCCTCGAGTTGAACCAGGACATCAAGGAATAAAGAGCCATTATGAAAACATGAAAAGTTGATGCAAGTTTTTGTAGGTGTTGAAAGACCAGCGATTTGAAATAGTGCAGGAATAAGTCAATGGAGATTGAAAAAAAGTAGAAGCTGCTTAACTGAGAGACTCATATAGCCTTTGACTTAGACTCTCCATAGTCTGACTTCTGGAAGACTATTCTATTTGTGTGATTACTGTTTGTTTGCCCTATTTTTTTACTACCCCTAGGTAACTGCTTCTCACCCTTGTCAAACAGGGCACGTGCACTAGAGGGGTGTTTAATCTGTCCCTGTGAAGTTATTCTTGTTACAGTAGGTTCTAAGAGAAAAGCTTGCTACTTTTACTTCATTTAAAATTGTCTCTGCACGTAGGAGTCTTGGAGTCTGAGAATGCATCTAAGTGTTTTTATTTCCCTGTTAGCCCTAAGCTGTGCTATGGTTAACAGCTTTTATTCAGTACCTGTAATCACTGCTCCAGATAGAAAAACACAATTAGCTGTTTTTGCAGGGATTTCAATATTATACTTAGATTTATTTGTACTGTTTTGAGTTTTGTGCTACATTAGTTCAGTAAGTACTATGCTAAAGGCTGTGCATTTGTTCAGCTCTGTGCATTTATTCTCTTGTTTAGAGTATTTTGTAGCAGATGAGTAAAAAGATACTTACATGGATTCCTTTTTCCTTTGCCTCTTCTTTTAAGTGCCTTCGAAAGAAATTGCATAAGCTTCTGCATTTGCCAAACTGCTCTGGTAGCCTAAAGTTATTCTCTTTTAGTATTAGCTACTCTGTTTGGGAAGCAAAAAAAATCTTCACCCCAGTTTATTCTTTTCAGCAGCTCATGACTACAGTTAAAGACTTAGTGGTTCTGTTTTTCCAGCCCAAGCGATTGCTATTCACAAGCACCTTTACAAAATAACTGTATCAGCTCCTTATCTAAGTTTCATACCAGCTCCTGCTGTACACACCTACCTGTTGAAAGTTGATTTCTTGAGGCAGGTGTTTATTTATTTGTATTTCTAAAGGTTTAGATCATTGCCAGGGACCTATACCAAAACATAACAAAAAGCAGTGTTGCTGCTTACTGGGTACTGTTGAGCTGGCTGAGAGAGTATCTTCTTAGTTCGGTTGGCATCAGCAATTGCAAAGGAAATTAAGTTCTACTTTTCTCAGTAAACATGGTTTAATGCTTCTTCAGGCAACAGAACTGACTGTAAGAATGGACAAAGCTGGACTCTTGCAGGTACCATCAATTTTGCTTGGGAGATTTGACCCTTTCATGAGGATTGCTCTAGCACATAGTGTGGCCTCTGCTGTTCTTAAAACAGGACAAAATGGAACAATTTCTGTAATGCCAGTTTAATAAAGAAATTTCTGAGGGAAGGGAATGGGCTAAAGTGCAGATAAAATTATGAGAAGGAAAGTGTTCAATTGTGCACAGCAGCTGCATTGCTCCAGGTAATACCGTGCTCTGTGTGCTGCTGTCTTTCCACAGTGCTTAATTTTATGGGATAAATTGAATTCAGTGCAACCTAGACATCAGTCTTCAGTCAAGTCAGTGCCTTTCCAGGAAGTTGTATTTTTCAGAAGTCCTAAGTAGAAGCCTCAGCAGCTGTGCAGGGCATCTATATTGTTCCAGGAGCAGCATAGAGCTGATCAAGCTGTGTTTCCTATGGTTTTATACCCTTTACCGCCTGTGAAGTGGCTCCTACCTTCCAGTAGCTCCAGCTTACCCTCAGTCCCCTGAGACACCCCATCAGGGAGCCTTGCCTGTGCCTTGGCTGCTTTGGAGCACAGCATGTCCACGCTGGCAGGGCAGACACTGCTGGACAGTGTGTGTGGGGTGGAGGACAAGGTCTCACTCCCCTCTCCGTGCCTGTTCCTCTGCCTGAACACAGATTTGTCACAGAACTTACAGGGGCTTCCCAGGTCTGTCTCTGAATGGGATTCTACAGCCCTCCTTTGGTTATTTCAGAGTCTTGGTCAGAGTCTAGAGCACTGATACATTAACTTATTCTCCTAGGAAAAAAGCTAAATTACTGTGAATTTTTAAATTATTTTTCAAATTTTCCATGTGAGCAAATTACCACAGTCAGATTTAGTATACTTGCCAATGTATAACATATACATGTGTTTTTGGAGAGTGAAAGTTGCTTCTTCTATTTAGTAAATATTAATTAAGGTACCTTAAACCATGCATATTTTAAAAGTCACATGTGACAAAATAACAGACTTGAGAGAAGGCCTTTTTCTTAATTCTTCAGGTATCTTTGGAAACTGATACCCAGGAGGTTCCCTCAGAATATCAGGAAATGGCACTGTGAGGGTGTCTGAGCACTGGCATAGGTTGCCCAGGGAGGTTGTGGAGTCAAAGCATTTGCATGTGGTCCTGGGCAGCCAGCCCTGGATGGTCCTGTGTGAGAGTCCTCCTTGACCAGATGACCTCCAGAGGTCCCTTCCAGTCTCATCCATTCTGTCATTCTGTGAAATTTCATTTTTCTACAGAGGTGTTCAGGTCACTGCAGGAATCCAGAGACACAGTTTATTCTCCTGCTGCACAAGCTAACTTCATGATGCAAGAGTCCTGGACGCCCATGTTTTCAGTTTTCAACTTCAAGAGGGCAGGAACATGGGGAGCTTTCCTCTGTTTACTCTTTGCTATCCATAATTGACATAACTAAAATTGAAGATGAGTGTTGAAATTGGCATTTGCTTCCAAGATAAACCCTAACCCAAGACTGAGGTATGACTAATCTGGAAAATGGACACCACAATTTACTTCTGGACAGCTGGAATTTGGTTAGGCTAATGGGGCCAACTGTTGAGCTCTCTGGTTTAGTGTTTCTTAATGAATTGTACTAATTTATGCCAATGTAAGAGCTTATGAATTTGGACCAGTGTTGTTTAAATGGGGAACACACACATATAACCCCAGGACAGCATGTGGCAGTGATTCACCTCTGTGTGGTGTCACTTGAGGAACCTGTGTCTGACTGGTACAGCATGGTACAAACATGGGCCATTGACCTTTCCACATGGAGCATGGCTGCCCCTTCCTCAACATCTATACAATTAGAAAGTGTTCCAGTGTGCATAAACGTCTGTGTGGCAGTAATCTTTGTCAAGGATAGTCTTCTGTCATAGAACAGTAAATTAGATGTTAATGGGGAAAAAAAAAGGCAAGACAAATGCATATCTTCAGGAGACAGTCAGAAAATCATAGAAGTATTCTGCAATAAATAAAAGTATAATTAGGAAAATTAACATGCCAAACAGCTTGTCCTATACAGTCTAAATCTTTTCTGATACTCTGAGCAATGTGACTCAGGGAGCCACAAAGAGAGCAGCTTCATTCATATCAACAGGTAGGTTAGATAGTAAGAAGAAGAAAAGTATATTTCCCATCCTAAAATTTGTTTAGTAATAAGCAGAGCATTTGTGTGTGACTGACTGGAGTTCCATTTGAGAGAGACACCTGAGAACCGTCCTGTGCTGACCTCCCACTGTCCTTTTTGGAATCAGTGCAGTCAACCTGCTTACATGCATCTTGCTCCTCAAGTGATCCATGCAACAAAACCAAGACTCAAACAGGTTTTACATGTACTACCTAAAAGTACTCCAAGAGCTGTACATTTATTTACTTAGTCAAAACTAATTATTATTTTTATTTATTTTAGATACTGAGTGTATTTTGGAGCCACTGTCTCTGCCAGAAAGTCCAGGTGGTGTTGATGCTGTAGAAAGTCCTCCCTATGTGCCTTGTATTTTCTGCACAGAATGCTATGTCTTAGCAGAACAAAACCAGCTCCTGAAGCACATGATTATTGAACACAAGCTTGTCATAGCAGATGTGAAACTGGTTGCAGATTTTAGAAGGTAAGGGTTATATAATTTAAAATGAGTGTGTATGTGTGCAGATGTTATTGAAGGCTTTGGAAAAGTAGAGATCATCTATTTTAAAAGACATTCTGGGAGGATTTCTGTTAATTCTTCTTACAAGCAATTTTCTGCTGGACTGTAAGGTTGTTTTATTTCCTTCCCTCTCTCTAGTGCCTAGATGTTGCGGGGACTAGGGAGCTCAGTTTTAGAATACATGGCAATCCCTGTGTTTGACATTTTTTTATATATCCTAGGGTCTTCTCAGGTCCTGCCACTAATCAACAAGTTGTGTCCAAACCAGATAGCTGTTTTTTAGCAAAGCTCATTCCAGACAATCAGCTGTCTTAATGTGGGGTTTTATTTGTGTAGGGCAGGACTATTTCTACCCCTGTAGAATGTACTAAATCTGTGTATTGTACATAGAAGCTTCTCAGAATAGGATCTCTCACATTCTGGGATGAAATTTGTTTGTGCTACTTTAAGGACAGTATTCCCCCATCAAAATCACATCTAATCCTTAACTGTGCTTCACAGTACTGTCATCTACATACAACTGTGACTCCTTCTACAGCTGTGACATTGGTCAGCTCACCATGGTCACATTTGGCTTTCTCTTTCTTAACTTCCTCTAGCAGCTGGCATGGCCCCAGCTGGCTTATAACTTCAGAGACAAGGTACTTGCTTGGCATTTTGCTTTCCACAGTAATGTATGGGCCAGGAGGAAGGCTACCTCTCTATGGATAGTATTTAAGTGTTAGATGGCTAATTTCTCAACTAGAATGAGTTTTCTAGTAGGCCTTCTGTTACTAGTTACTCAAAGTCAAGACCTTGTGTCTATCAAGACTCAAAAAAAAAAAATAAAAAAATAATACAATATAATTTATGAAGAGAAATGTAAGCCATTTAAATCCTTAATCAAATGTATGAGCTTAACATTGCTTAAAATTGAAAACTGATGGTGGTTCTTGTTTGCTTTTCTGCTGAAGGCAGACAGAGAGAATGTACTGTTCTTTGGAGATAGTGCTAGGTTTTTTGGGTAAGTAAAGGAATCGGAGCTGCTCAGTCATGGACCGCCGGACTAAGCATGCTTGGGGGAATTATTTTGCATTAATAGAAATGTATTTTAAAATCATCCCTTCCAAAAGTTCCCATTTAGATTCTTTTTGCTGCTAATGCAATTGGAAGGTAGCCAAATCTTATAGAAAGTGGCCCCAGGACATGAAATGATGGAATTGTTGCTCTGAAGTGTGCTTTCTCTGACTTGCTGTATTAGTAAAATAGTCTAATACTATGCACAAAAAAGAGAGTATATTCTGAAGTGTTGAACTGAGGTGTGAAAAATACAGGGATCAACTCTGCAAAGATAGTATTCTTTTTATACTTAGCAATGAGTTACAGCCAGCCTTAGGAATACATTTCTTGACAGAACTGCAAGAAGTGGATAATCCAGAAAAGATCAATGCTAATGGAAATTTTTTTCTTTTTAACTTCGAAGAGTAAAGCTAAGTTGGCATAAGGGCAGAGGGAAGAGATAAAAGGAATAAGCTTCTGCTTCATGAGGCAACATGGTCACTCATTCTGTCTCCCTGGAAATATCACAAGGCATTTGTTTTATCTGATCATTGATTATTTGGGTTAAGTCTTATGATATGAAATCCCTTAGCTGTCATTTCCATGACACAGACTGTTGTGGGCAGTTACAGGTTTGTACCAGTGCTCATTTCTCTCAGTGCAAGGGACAGACATTTATTAAATGAGCTCTTGAAATCTCTCCATTTGCACATTTATGTCCTAAAAGCTCAAGGATGACTTAGTCTGGAAGTATTGTCGTTCTGTTTAGCAGCTCTTTCAATGTGCATTTCAAACAGAGGAGTAGGCAGGGGGGGAACTAAAGACTCACTTCTTTCTTACTGACATCTGATGATGCTGCTGAATGAACCTCAGCCACGGGTGGTGGCTTCACTGTGCTCAGGTGTCTGTTGCACCAGAGGTTGTCCTCTCCATGTCAGAGTTAGCAGAAAGAAAGATGTGCTGATTCCTTGTGCTGCAGTTGAAGTCATCAAATATATTAGGTCAGAATGGTAGAGGCAGTGTGAGCCACTATGGGATGTGATAGCTGTGCAAAGTAAACTTAGAGCTTGCACGAGTATTAAAAGCTGCAGCTATTTAAAAATGCTCTCATAATAATGATTTCTGATTTTTTAATTATTCTTTTGAGTTTGGTGGCTTATAATAAGAAGCAGTCATTGAATAGCCTTTACCAACTCAAAACAAGATTTATATCATACATGAGTAAAAATTTAAGCCAGCACTTAAGCATTTTCAGATAATTTTTAATAGTAAAATTCTGAATAATTGGCACAAGAGTTGCTTGGTTCCCTTCATCATATAAATGAAGTGATGATTTCTTCTTGGTTAGACAGTAGCTTCCTAGTTCAGTGGAAATCTAATCTCGGTCGTGTTCTGTTGATACAGCTGTAATACCAACAAAGATAGTACAGAATGTTTTTAAACAACTGTTGTTGATGGGTTAAACTTTCAAGATGTGTTTAAGTCTTTACTTATTCTGTCTGCTGTCTTACCCCCAGGTGTTCAGGGACTTCATTTTTCTGTCTTTCCAAGTTGTCTGCCAAGTTACGGCTTTCACTGTAACTCCACAGGAGACCTGCCAAAACCTCACTTTCGTCAAGTTGGTGTTTTTACTGAGTTTCAGCTTCCTGACTGCATCTTGCAAAACACAGAGCACAATATTTTGGGAATTTGAGAATGCTCTGTAATATATCTTTTCAGTAAAGATGCATCTGAGTGGCACTTCAGTCTGAAGATGTCAATAGGTCACAGTGTTTATGCAAAGCTTGGTGCAAATCTGCTTACTGAGTTCTTCACTTTGACAGCGTGGTTAAACCCAGTTTAAGTGAAACTGAATTAATTTCATAAAATTGAAAACTAATATGAAGGAAGAAAAAAGGAACATAGGAGTTAAAAAAAAACCCAAAAACACTTCAGAATTTAGAGGATGAAAAAAAGCAAGAGCTTATCAATTTTTTATTAAAAGTTTTTTGGTGTTTCCTTTTTCACTGATCATCTCCCCCTTATTTTTAAAGCTACATCTTGTACTGGAAGAGGAGATTTGCAGAACAGCCTATCACAGACTTTTGTAGTGTGATAAGAACAAATTCAAAAGCTCCATTAGGTAAGTATGCTGCTTGCTTATTCCCTGGTGGCAGATCATGTGATAATTTCTGGCATGTACTGCTGCTTTGATCAGTCAGGTGTGTCTGACACTAGGTCAGAAAACCACAGAAGTCATGTTTAACTCTTAAGCACATACTTAAACTTACCTCTTCCAAGGATTACAACACGTGCTTCAGCACTGTGCTGAGTGAGGATGAGCTCAATGTCTGCTCAAAATGTGTTGTGAACTGGGGCCTGTGCATATCAAGGCCTGGAAGCAGAGCTGCTCACATCCTGGCTGGGGAGATGTTGGTACCCACTGCATAAAAGATTTGTGATGGTCCTTCCAAAATTATGAGAAACTTTCCCAGTGAGCTGTCTTTTCTGACTTCACCCTGCCCACCACCTGCCCTGATGCTGCTAGTTCTTCTTGGACAACAGGGCCACAACCCCCTTCCTTCCCTCTGCCACAGTGCTCCCTGCCCCAAGAGTGTCAGGAGATGTTATCTGCACAGATACACATAGATCTTCACAGGTACACATAGATCTTCACAGATACACATAGATCTTCACACATATACATACATACATCTTCATGAGCCACACAACTCTGCAGGTTTCTGGGTTCCAACACAAGTCTGAAACCATAGTTCACTGTTGTGCTGCATTGGTATGGTGGCACATTCCATCATAGGGACACTATTGACTGTGTGATGGAAGTGTTTTTCTCAGAAGTAGCTGATGCATTACTTTGGCTTTCCTTTTCTGTCAGAAAAACACAGTTTGCCTAAAATGGATAAGAACTTGAGGGCTTTTCTGCATCTTTAATTCTCAATGGAGATGTTAAAAGAGAGGAAACAATGCATACATCTGGTATCAGAGATGGCTGGAAAGTGAAAACTGAGTACAAAATGGATGAAAGTAAATTTTTTAATTATTCAAAATCATTTTAAGAAAAGTAGCCGTGGAAAACATGAAAATTACTTCAAAAATCATCATTCTGTTTCTCTTACAAACACTTACTACTCAGTTTGAAGACTGCAAATCAAGCACCTGAACAGCAGTATTGCTACTCAATGAGACTTCTCTCTCTCTTTCTCTCTGTCACTGTCTCCCTCCCTCCTCCTCACCCTGTCCCTCCCCCTCCAGAAAATCGGTCTTATCTCAACCATTATCTTTTGTATTTTCTTACATGCTGAGTAATTTTAATACCTTTGAATAAAATTTGTTGCCTTCTTCAATTGGATATGACCATAAATAGTAAAAAGGTTACTAAAGATAAAATATGTGTAAAAGATATAAGTAGAAATGTAAATTAGGCAAGTCTCAATGTATGGTACTGAACAGTTGTGTATATTCACAGGTGGAAAAATGTTTGATGGTAAAAGGTAATGTTATAGATCAGAGCTAAGGGAGGATAAACCAAATTACGATAGCTACTGAAAACTGATAATTATTTAAGGAAATAACTAATAAGATAAAATTAAAGTTGATTTCATATTTCTTTCATGCTGACTTTAATCTGTAACCAATATAAATGCTAATTGTTTTATGTGTCCAGAAGAACCATCAGAAAAACGAATAAAGCTGGTAGTGGAGGAAAGCTGTGCAAGACTTTTACCTTCATACTCCAATATAAATATGCACAAATATTTAAACATGTTTCATTAAATTATGAAATTAAAGTAACTGACTTTTATAGGCTAAAAATCACATTGTTAATGTATTCCAAAGTCTCAGGAAATTATCTGCCAGTAATATTCAAAGCAGCTGCAACTTCCCATTCCTTACTCACACTTTGTAATCTCTTAACAGAGGAACAGGACAATTATTTTCTTTTATGTGATGTTTTACCAGAAGACAGGTTACTCAGAGAACAGCTTCAGCAAAAGAGACTGGTAAGAAATTACTGTTGTTTCATTTTTTAAGGTAAATACTCCAATAGAATAATATATTGTAACTTAGGCATTTTAAAGTGAAAGGGTTTTTTTTCTAGATGACAAAATTCTGAATTTTTTTTTTTTTTTTTTTGAAGCTCATTTCCCTAGCTGCTGCACAAACATACACAATCCCATGTTCATAGATTTTACCTTGGGGTAAATTGTCAATGTTCCACACAAGTGGAGAATACACCCAGAACAATGAAAAAGGTTGAGTGTGCTGAACATTTTTCTTGCAAGGATCTACAATGCATTGACACACTATCTTTCATGAAATAGTATACATCTATGGAATTCAGCAAAACAGAACTTGGTGTGTGATACTGTGAGCAGAGAAGGTGATACTTACCTACAAAATCTTTGAGCAAGTTGTTTTTGTTCATTGACACTCTCTTTCCCAGATTTCATTAATTCACAGTCTCATAGTCACAAGCACCATGGTTTGTGAGCCTGGCCAGTATTGTTTCTGTGAGATGCAAAGGACAAGAATTGCCAGCTCTTGAGCCCATGTGAACCATTCTGGTTCTTCTTGCCTGATGTCAGCCTAATATTTTGGACAGACCTTGCTGAACTTTTAGGCATTGTCAGTTCTGAATGGATGGTCCTTCAAGTTCAACTTGTGCTGACCAGCTTCCAGGAGTCATAGCCTAGATTGTTGGCCAGTGGGTTTTTTTCTGTTTTCTTGTTAGAAATGCAAATATGGAGTCTGGTTTTGCTGTTGGGATAATTTAGAAATGAATGTCACGTGGTACCTAGCAGCCTTGTTGACAGTCTCCTCATGTTAGGATGCAGGGTATTCCACTGGAGATGCAGAATACCCCATACCTCTGCTCCGAGATGTTGGAATGCAGGCTTTATGGACTTTACATAAATACATTCCTCAGTTTAGTGCTGACAGCTGTGTCCTGAGAATTGTCAACACAGGCCTTTTAACCCTTTGTTATGCTGTTTCTTCTGGTATGTTTATATTACAAGTTTGTACATACACAGCATGCAAATAAAGATACGTTAAGTGATGTGCATTCAGAATGAAGGAGAACCTAACAAAATCCAAATTCTAGTCCTAGGGAAACTGGGATTGGCAGGCAAAATCCAGTTGGTTTAGCTACTCTGTGAGTGCTATTTCCATTTGGTGGGAACAGTAATATTCTTCAGCTTGAAGTACATGACTAGTGAATCCCCGGAACTGGAGGAATATGTACAAGTCTTACACAGCTTGCCATAGGATCCCAGCTCCTGAAAAGGAGAAATGTGGTAGTTCTTCCACTGGGGATTTCCCATGGAGTTGGAGTTGCCTGAGCTGAAACCTGCATTCCTGTGTAGGCCCATTAGACTGGCATGGACTCAGAAAAAAACAGCTGATGCATTCATGCCTAACATGCTTCCCTTCCAGAGCTATCTGGGATCAGTAAAAAAGGTTTGTCTAGATCAGTGTCTTACCCTTGAAAGCAGCTAAGTGTCTCTGGTATGTGCTGGCTTCTGATCTGGTGGTGATTCTTTCCCAAAATAATCATTTAGTCTCCTGCAACTGGCAGGTCAAAAATTTCTGAGTTCAGCCATATGAGCCTCCAACTCTGAACCCACAAAAACTTCCAGGATCCCCACTACAGGAGTGGGTTGTGCAGCCTAACTACACATTGGGAGAGAAGCATCTATTTGATCCTTTGTTCATTTCACACCTGGCAGGTTTTTGTATTAGAAGAGATAGTGAAGAACTTGTCCTTAGTATTATCCAAACCATTCATGATTTGTCTCTTGATTTATCTGCCTTACATTATGTCTTTCATTAGTCCTGTTCTGGAGTGCACGCTCATGGCAAAGAAGAACAACAACATCCTGTTGTTAGGGCTGTGTTAGGAAGAGTGCTGCAGTCAGGTCAAGGGAGATGATCCTTCCCCTGTACTCAGCACTGCTGAGACCACAGCTGGAGGGCTGAGTCCAGCTCAGGGCTCCCCAGTACAAGGAAGATATGGACTTCCTTGAGCAACTCTGGAGCAGGGTCGCAAAGATGCTTAAGGGACTGCGACATCCTACATACAAGGAAAGGCTGAGACAGCTTGGACTGTTAAGTCTGGAAGACAAGGTTCACAGGGGAGCTCAGTGATGTGTGTAAGTACTCGATGAATGAAAAAAGCAGTCAGATTTTTCTCAGTTGTGCTCACCAACAGGACAAGAGGCAATGGGCATGAATTAAAAATCAGGAAATTCCCCCTGTAAATAAAAATCTCACTTTTTTTTACTGTGAGGGTGGTCAAACACTAGAGCAAGTTACCCAGAGAGATTGTAAACTCTTCCTCCATGCAGACAGTCAAAAGAAAACTCAACACACTCCTGGGTAACCAGGTAGAGGTGACCTTGGCTTGGGCACAGGGGTTGCACCTGTTGCTCTCAAGAGAGCCTTTGCAACCTCAGTGATTAGGTGATTTGAGGTTGAGGAATGCTATTTGGTGCTTCTTCACAGTGCATCATTACTGCACTTCTCTGTATCTTTTACAGTTTTCAACAATTCTTTTGAGTTTGTGAAAGACATCCTGAATTTTGCATGTGGGCATGCAGTCCAAAGTGTATATCATGTTTGTGGCCTTGAGGGAGGAAAAAGGGTTGTGACTGAGCATGCAGCTGATGTTTTCATAGCACCATCTGACTACAAAAAACAGCTCCTGGCTGCTATAAATTGGACTGTACTTTTTTGTTTTTTAAGCGTCATTTGTTTCTGGTTTTGTGCTGTTTTGTACTATGCAGTTCTGTACCAACTAAGCCTTTTCTCCACTGCAGTGCCAAGGGCATGAGGAGTCTTTTGGCAGGTGAGCAGTCTCACCTGCTCTGCAAGTAGGCATTTCCTTAAACTCTGGAATGAGTGGAGTATTTAGTCCAAAGCAAGTGCTGGTTTTGTTTACAGAGTCATTAAATTAGGAAAGAAAGAAATACACATTCTTATTATGGTGCAAAATAGTTTGCAATTATCGCTATCTTGAATATCAGAATTGTATCCTCAGTTTTTACAGAAGGATTTTGTGAAATCAAGCTGCAGCTGTAGTTGGGGCTAATGGAGTCACTGCTTTAGTTACAGCAATAAAGTCTGTTTATTTTTTCATTTCCTTTTGCTGCAATCTGAGCGTTGACTTGCAAGTTAAATAGATATTTTGCTTTGTAAAGCCTTTTACCTCCAGACAAGTCCAGCAATTAAGAGTGAGCTGGCAAATGGGCTCATGTGAGTTGCGTAGAATAAAGACCAGAACTATACAACTTTTGGTGATTTTTCTGCAGCCTTTGAATCCTAACTGCTGTCTCCAACAGCAAGCCCAAACAAGGACAAATGCTGTCTTTAAAATGTGCTGCCTGAAGCATTTCATTCTGCAGTTTTGAAACTCCAGTTTAGGAATATTTCAGGCTGTATTGCAGCAGGGAGCTAGCCAAGGTGGATGTCATGCAGAGACATAATGGTGACTGTGATGTATTGAGAGAGGCCAAGGAATGAGCCTGAAGTAGGTTAGAGAGCACAGCTTGCTGAAATAGCTGAAAGGGATGTGAAATACAAAACAGATATGGTCTTTTAGAAAAACACAGCCGTGACAAAGAATTCATAGTTGTCAAGCACTACCAGGCAAGGAAGTCCTGGCAGCAAAACTAGAGATACATGGAGTTGGGGGCAGTGTCAATATAAGTCACCTGGGTGTTTTCTTTAAATAAAAAAGTAACATCCCCAAACCTATTTTTCATCCCCAAACCACACTTCCTACAACAGCGCTGACCTTGTCTTGCTGTCATGTATAAAGCTATTCACCTGACCAGTAGTTTTAGGAGAAGGGGCTTCTCTTTCCCCCAATAATTAAAGATCCTGAAGAGGAGTTTTCACCAAGACTACAAGCTCTAGTAGCTTCCCAGGGAGAGCTGTTTGTATGATGCCCAGTTTGTCACAATCTTAAGCTGCAACAAGATTCAGGAGGTTGAAGATATACACTGGGAGGGATGGAGATGTTAGTCCAGTTTAGTGTAATGCAACACCAGAAGTGTTTACTGAGTAGCTGGTAATGTCTGCATGTTAAAACCTACTTCTGAATTCTGTAGGCCCTTCTTTGCCTACGTTGGGTATTTAATTGCTTTTTTCACTCTGGAATCTTGCCTGTTCTCTCAGTTTATGAAGACTAGTCATACAAATGGTCAGAAATAGTTTTATCTGATTCCATAATGACTGTTGGGTAAATTATGTCAGGTCTAAGTACAATTGATGTCCAGCCTTTAACCATTCCTTATCCTTTGCTGATCCTGGTTCTTTTTTATTTTTGTTTTAAATGCATTTCTTTAACAGTTGTGACATAATTAGACTGAAGCCCTGCATGATCCAAACATTCTTCTTTGCTTGTGTCTGGTCTCTTGCTGCATTGGATCTATGCTCTTTCTTTTTGTTTGTTTCTGGTGTATTTGAGGGTGGGGGAAGAAGGTCAGTTTTTGCTATTTCATTTTACTGCATTAGCCTGTCTCCATCTTCTTTTGCTTGTCACCTTTATCCTGCTTCAGCTTGGCAACCTGTGGTATGTGTCTAATGTAATTTCAACCCTCTTTCTTTTCATACATCTTTATATAGTTAGTTTTCATCATACCATGAAACTCATCCTCCTTGTTTTAATTGACTCAGCTTCCTGAATGAGCTGTAAGAATGTCTTCTACATCAGTGTCACAGCACCCTTCAAAGGCTGTCATTTGACCTGTCATTGATTACAGCCTTTTCAGGTGTAATTTTTAGCCTGTGCCACTTCAGTGGCTGAGTCAACTCAAGAAGAGGAGCACTAGGGAAGAAGGGAAGAACCTAAGAGCAAATGGGATGGACAGTTAGAGGAGCAATACCCTTATACCTGTCCCAGTTAGTCATTCCAGTGTTCCTTTTGAACCCAATCTCTGTGAAGGCTGGAATCAAGGCTGAGATACAGGAGAAAAAGAAGGGGGGGAAAAAAGAAAACAAACACTTTTTTTAATGTTTTGGGTATTTTTGTCTTTGTATCAACAATGAATCAATGCTGACATCCCCAAACAGTCCAGGAGGTTGGAAGCTGATGCAAGTATTTAAGCAAACTGCTCATTTCCTGCCTCATAACTTCAGTTTCTGATTGACACACATTACTAGAATGTCTCTGCTCAGAAAAATTTCTGTTTTATGTAAGTTATTGTAATTGCTGTTCTTCCTTTGGAGTTCCAGCAGTGAAATAGAGGGCTGGAAATGTCTGTAGGGAAGAAGAGCAGCCTTGTTCCCTTTCCTGTATTTGATGTGAACTGGTGCTTTTAATTCCTCACCTGTCCAGGTATCCAATATGCTTTCTGGTTTTGAAAGTTCCCTGTAGCAATGAAAGATGCCAGTATTTCATAAAAAGGAGGGTCTGCCTTGGAAAATACTTTTTAAACTCTGTTGAGTAAATTGGTAAAGCAACAATACTGGGTTAATCAAAGCTTCCCAGCTGCCAAGCGTGCTGGTCTAGGGGGAAACGGGAAGGGTGAGAGTAGAGTAGCAGCAGCATCATCTGTGTGGAGCATGCAGTATGCTTCTCCTTCCTCCTCTGACATAACTGAGAGCAGTTGCCAGCAAGGGCTTCAGTAAGCAGTCTGGAGTTAGGCAGACAAATACTGCAGAAAACCTTTTGCCCTGCTAGTGAATTAAAATCAGGAAGCTACCTTGGAATACCATTAATGAGGATGGGGGTGTTTCTATCCTTGTGTTTGAATTGTACATGATTGCTTTTGATTTCCATTTAGATTGTTTCCAGTGTTTTTTACTAAGTGTATACACTGTGTTTATGATGGTTTCAAATCCAGGGTTAGCCAAACAGGATCAAACATGCTGCTGAGTGGAGAGAGGGGCAGCTCCTCGTATCAGAGAAAGCCCCAGTTTCCACTGATGTGCTATGGGACACTCACTGCCCACATGGAGCAGTCTTATTTGCATCTCTGCTGAAGGGCTCTGACAAGGGTGTGCTCCATTCATCTCAAGAGTCAGCCCTGAAAAATAGGAATTTACATTTCTGTGAGCTGACATTTTGCATAACACAGCAGGACATGAGCAGATACAGCCTAAAATGTGAGTGCATGCTGCTGAGCATGACTCCAACATAAAATGCATACCTTGTAGTACAAAAAAAAACCCAGAAGACCCCCAGCATTTCTATTTTCAGGGTAACAGACACTTAACTACAGTTCCCAAGTGGTGTGGTTGGATATGGGCCCTGGAAGGGGCTGTGGCACAGTGTGCCAGTGTCCCCTGGCACCCACAGACACCATGCCAAGTGCATCTCAGGTGCAGCACTCTCATGCTCTTGACAGACATCTTCCCACCCCACTGCTCCTCACTGGGTGTAGCAAGCTGATTTTGTGGACGAGAAGTACACGGCACATTTGTTCGCCCGGTGTCAGCCTCCTGCCATCTCTCAGTGGGATGTGGTGTGATACATCCACACTGCAGGACATGCTGGGGCCTTCCATCACAATGGCTCAAGCTTTCCTCTCAATTATTTTGGGGTTTAGGGGGTATGTCTTACTTTTTTCCTTTCTTTTATGCCTTCTCTGGAGTTTATCCAACAGGTGAAGCTGAATTCAGGTGGGCTCTGTGGACAAATTTGGGCATTAATCCACATAAAAGGGTTACCAAAGAGACAAGTGAGAAACACAGAGTTTCACTGCAGGTTCTAAAGAGATAAAGAGATTGAGAAAATCCCCTAAGAAATTCAGTCAGGATCCTGAATGTCAGAAAGCAGGTAGAAGCACCTTTATGTTGCACAGAATTTAAATCCTTTCCCAGTTATCAATACTTAAAACACAAGCACAGAGTGGTATGCTGCTAGGCTGAAAATGTGCAAAGTTTAATCCAGACATTGATTCATCCATGTCCAAGATGATTATGGCCTTGCCACCTGAAGTGCATAGTACCTGCACAGTATTACTACACTGCTGCTGTTACAGCAATGGAGACAAATCACCTGCTGTTTGATTTTGTTGTTCTTAGGAATATGTACCAAGTGCTGTAAAGTGTCTGACCCAGCCTGTTGCCCTATCTTAAACAGAGCCAGAGTAAAGGCCATGACCTTCTCCTTTTCCCTGGGTTTGGTATGTTCTGGCTTACAGAAACTGCCAGAGCTGTGTCCTGCATTAGGAAAAATCCCTCTAGGTTGCCTGCAGTTAGCCATGTAGGACTGAGTTTGCCATTCCACTGGGCACTAGGTGGTTACCCATAAACCTCCTCATTGGTACCAGAGGTCAACCTGAATCACATGTGGAAACATTAAATTATATGTTTTATACAGAATTATTTAAATAGTTGCATGAGATCTCACTGGGGATTGTATTTATTTCCATGCACCGTGTATATAAAGTTAAGAGAATTTTACTGGAACTTAGCTGGGACACATACTGCCTTTGGAAAGACTTGGAAGTTTTGTGAGAACTCACACTCAAAACGTACTAACATCTGGTTTGTTCCAGCAGCACATTTGAATTTTATATGTTCATTGTTACCAGTAAGGATAAATATGTAGAATAAGCTTATGTGATGGCATGATTTTATGCTTCTGGTTTTGTCTGAATAACTGTATCTCTTTCTTTTTATAGAAAGAAATTCTAGAACAGCAACAACAAGAGAGATATGACACAAGTTTTCATAGTGTGTGTATGTTCTGTGATCAAGAATTCACAGGAAACAGGTTTGTTTATTGCCCTGTTTCTTTTGTTTTATTTTTTTATATCTACTCAGCATCTTTGTTTATGTTTTCGGTGTCATTGAACCAGTTAATGCATAATGGTAGGACTCATAATTAACTTCAAAGTATAGTTTAAGTATTTCTTTCAACTAAAATGCCATTTTAAATAGATGCTGTCCTACTACTCAAACCTTTTTATTTATTCCAGTGCAATTATTTCTACTACACAGTACGCTGGAGTTGGGAATGAACTATTTTAAAGAGAAACTCTTTTTTGGCAGATGTTTTCATGACCAGGACAACTGTGTAAGCCAATGTGATGGTTAAAAAAAATTTTTATCCAGTTGTACATTTTCTTATTTAAAGCTCACCTAACTAGTGTGAATTTGAGTATCAAATGAAAAAGAGGAGGGGAAAATTAGAGTGAGAACAGAGGGCTTTACAGCATCAGTCAAGTGTAAGAATTGCATTGAAATGCATGTTCCAAAGAAACTTTGTTTATTCAGAGTAAATCAGTTTCAGTTGGAGAGGCTAAGTCTGTTTGCATGGGTAGTTCTGGTAATCTGGAAGGGTAGAAGCACCTGGGGTCATATTCCTGCAGGTCATCCCAATGTTCTGTGAGTGTCCCTCTCTACTGTCTGGTGACAGTAGAGGAACTTCATCCTCTGCTTCCTCTTGGGTGTGACATGCATAGTGCATGTTTGAAAATCATGCCTGGACAGTGGTAAAAGCAAGTGTCAACATTTGGTCTTCAGGCCCCAAAGGCAGAAGCTGAGTCCTATAGAGAGGTTGGCCACCTAAGGAATTAACCAGTATATCTCTGTTAGAAGAATATCTTATTTGAACATCCTTTATGTTTATTTGTGTACACTTTTGAGTGCCATCCATGTTGCTAGTGCTGTGTGAAGCAATATTGATGTAAAAGCGCATTGCATCCAAGAATTTCTGATCTGCTAACCAGCATGGAGAAGTCTGACAAATGGCTTTTTAGAATGTGTCTCAGGAGGGTTGTTTGAAATGTGATTTGCTTATACAGGGTAATGAATGAGCTTTGCTAACAGCAAGGGTCAAAATAAACTATACTGTAATTTTCATTTAAAGGATTATATTTCATGGATGTTGATGGAGCAGTTGAAAAGTTACTGAACATTCAGCAAAGCTGAAAATGAAAAACTTCCTGTTTCAATAAAATTGCATTCTTTTTTCCTAGCAGTGACAGCAAGACTATTACTGTTCATTTCACATTGGCATTTATGCAGTTTTAGAGCCATTGTTGTATTTTAAATCACTAATTGAATAATTGTTGTATATATCCAAAAGTATGTAACATTCTATTTGAATGTCTTTTGTAGATCTGTTCTTCTCAATCATATGGCAAGAGAGCATGCCTTTAACATTGGGCTGCCAGATAACATTGTGAACTGCTATGAGTTTTTGGCTGTATTACAGGGAAAGCTTGACAAGTAAGTAGTTTGTTTGTTTTCAATAAACTTGGTTTGTATTTCTTTTAACTTGGAAATAGTAGGTAAAAATTGATTCCACAATTGTGACTAGTTAAGAAGAAGCAAAGAGAGCATGTAAGTTTATTGTGAGTCATCTTAGAAGTCTTTTTGTTGACTTACTGATTGGTAACAGTTCATAGCACAAAGTCAAGTGCTGTGTTTCAGTTACCTGTTGCACAGCTTGACATCAATAATAGCACATGCCCTTTTTTTTATAACTGTTAGCATTAATGTTCTTTCTCATCATGACAAACTTTTTGCTAAACATCTCTTTAATCACCGAATACAGAGTCCTTGTTCCAGTCTTCATTTGCCTCTATATACCATTACTGTGGGATGTTTGGTCTCTCCCTTTTGTACTGCTTACAGAGCAAACCCAGAGCAGAAGGGGATAGATACATATTAACTTCTTCAAGAAATTAAGACATATTAAGGATGCCTTTTCTCTTATCATTGGTGCTGCCTAATGCACTGAATTACTGTGCTCACTGAGAATTTGCAGTTCTACTGTTTATCAGTAGGACCTGAGGCTTTCAATTAGAGGCAGTTTTCTCAAAGCTGATCCTCTCTGTAGTTAATGCACATGCTGAAAATGTGTCCAGAGTAGTGAAAGGCCGCTCCCCCTATGGCTAAGAGTAGACTTATTAGCTATGCTAGTAGAATATAACTGAGAATAAATTACTGGAGGAGAAAGATCTTGTTTCAGGCAAATAAGACTACATTATGTATGCTGACAGAAAGCCTTCCATACTCTTCGTGGGAATGCTTTTCTAAAGTAGAGCAAACACTTTTCTGTTAGCAGGTGGAGCAAAGCAGATATTAAAATTCATAGTTGTATTCTTGCATCAGACCTGTGATTCACCAGCAAGGCAATCTTGATTTGAAGTCTGCAAGCACAGGGAGAATTCAAAACTTCTTAAATGTCTTGAAAGGCAAAATGATACTGAGAATCCTGAATTCCTGCTGCACACAAAACATCTGAGGGGACTATAGAACCAAAAGAGTTTTATGATGGTGATCTAAGGCAGTGCATATATTTCTGTTTTGTTTGAATTGGTCTAGAATACATACTGTGATAAAATTCTCATTTGTCAATGAATGTTTCACAATGAATGTGTTTTCACCTTCTCAAGTAATGTGTATATACACCTAAATAATACTCTCACATCTATGTATATATGTGTATGTAGATATGTGTATATATGTTTATCTATGAATTATATATACTTTGACAGTGGGGATGTGAATTTATTTACTGAATTTTACTTCTTAGGATTTCAAAACCCATTGACCACCCTGGCAAACTTTCATTTACCCTCCCTGTTGAGGTAGACCTATAAAAACTTTCTATTTAGCTAATTGAAATTGTTTCAAAAGATAAGTAGTATGTTCAGTTTGGTTTTTTTTCACTCTGAATTACAAAGAAACAATTACGGATGGATTGGATGTCAGTGAGTCCATGCTGAGTTACAGAGCTCACACAGTGAGCAATCAGCAGCTTTTCTGTGCCTGCTTTGGGTAATCAGACTTTCCTCCCACTTTGCATATGGGGCAAACAGTAAACTTCTTTGTTACCTGTATTTTTCATTTTCTGTCATTCTTACTTCTGTTTAGTAGTAGTAGTAGTAGTTACTCTACTGTGATCTAAGACTATCTTATAATTTTTTTTTTTTTTTTCAAATGAGCTTTCTCTTTATTTTAGTTTGCTCTGACATGCTTAGGTTAATCTTACTATATATAACTCCAGCTTATTTAAGTTTATTGTTTTGTACTATTTTCATTTTAACATGTTGACCTGTTTACCTTTTTATCTTAGCTTGCAGTGTTTATACTGTGAAAAAGTCTTCAGAGACAAAAACACACTTAAAGACCACATGAGAAAGAAGCAGCATCGCAGAATCAATGCCAAAAATAAAGAATATGACAAATTTTATATCATTAATTACTTGGTAAGTAGTTCTATGAATAATTAACAAACTGACTAAAGAGATGCAGACATTATCTAGTTAAAAGTGAATAAATCCAAACTAGCAATTAGTAAAAAGGTCAAAAATCAAGTGAAGGATTCTTAAGAAGTATGCTCATTTATGGTATGATATTCTGGATAATTGTCAAACTAAGCACTAGGAAACATTTTTTGTTGAGTTTTGATTTTGAGAGATGCAAGAATGTAGCTTGAAGAGACACTAATCATCATGTCATTAGTGCTCAAAAACTGCTTTAAAACAGGAGGGAAAGCGAGATAGAGCAATGAACTAAATGGAGGTCTAACTTAAAGCAAGTTGGCTTTGTGCTCGTTTTCTACAAACCTTAAGCTGGAAGTGCTCTTCAAAGTATAAATTAAATTCAAAGAGGAGGAAAATGAAAGACCCAGAGATGAAAGAAAAACAGTTAGTTTTTAGCCTCCAGGTAGGTGTATGTTGCTAAACATTTTTTTATCTCACACCTTTGAGAGTGTGTGCATGTAACAGATTTTCACTTGCTGCCTTTGACTTATGAATATAGGAACTGCTTCAAAATCTGCTATATTCTGTCCCAGAAATAACTACAGTTCACCTGAAATAGTCTTTGTGCCTTCTACATGTACTAATATCCAGGTTATAAATAGGCATTCTTGACTGTTTTACCTACTCTTTAGATCCTCAGCAGAACTGAGCATTTACTTCTTTGGAAGTTAACAGATTTTAATTTAATGTCATTATTTTAAGTGATTTTAATAGTTTCTTTCTTCTCTTCTTTTGGTTTCTTTCTTCTCTTCTCTTGTCCTACAAGTAATATTATGTTTTCAGAATTTGGCATCTTTCTAAATTATCTTTTGTTTCTCATTTGCATTCATTGTTCACATTTTAATCTGTTCCATCTTAGCTCAGGAAATTGAGCTAGATGACTACCCAGAATCTCTGAGAACCATGAAGTGCTACTTGAGAAATTTGAGAGACATGCAGGGAGGTCATTACATGAATACAGACACAATGGCTGTGCCATGTTAATAAGCAGAATATGCCAAAGTAAATATAACAGCAAGGCTAATATTCACATACCTAAGGTCTTTTCTCCAGCTACTCCAAAACTGGTGGCCTTGCCCATGCCTGTCACCTGAGAATGATCTGTGGCCTGTGTGCTTCCTGAACCACATCCAGGAGTGGTCTGAGTGATGCTGCTTGCGTGGCCACAGAACATGCAAACTGTTTAACAGTCAGGGCCTTGGTCCCCTTTGCCTGTAGCTGGGGTTCTGGCCAGAACTTTGCAGGATGCCTTCACGTGCCAGCCTGAACCCGCTCAGCTATTGGTCACGGAGTAGCATCACTCAGATATATATTCTTTTGGGTTCTTGAAATTACAGACAATAGTAAATATAACTCAAATAAGCTATGTCAAAACATCATAATATATAAAATGGGGCAGTGGGTACTGCATATGCAAGATCTTATGCCAGTACCTCTTCTGGGACATACTTGGGTGATCACAGTTCTTTGTCTGGCTCTGCATGCTCTGTCCACACATTTTGAAGTTGTCTACACTGCAGTCTACTCAGGAGACTGTTCCTACTCAGCCTTTCTGATCCTTCAGACTATACTCACATCAGAATTTCTGATATTTATTCTTTAAAAGAAAGAATTAAAAAATAAATAAATATTGAAAACAGAGCTAAATACTCTTGTTTTAAACACTTCTAGCATAGTTCACTATAAAATGTATATTTGCACACAGGAAATTTTTAGCTGCATAAGGGAAGGTGTTTGCTTTCCAAAGAGCCTTTGCCAACCCCTTTTTTTTCCTGCACAGAGACAAGAAGACTAAAAGGAAGAACCTCAGTTTGTTCACTCAGAGTTCAGTAGATTGGCCTTTACATTGTAAGGAGGAAATATTCTGTCCTGCACATACATGCTCTACAGTAGATTTTTTTAAATGAGATAGGATGGGGTTTTTTTCAAGCCGAGTCTATATCAGTAAATTCTAGATTCTACACAACATCTGCTTTCTGTAATGGCTCAATGTAGTGATTTTGCTTCCTCTCCCATAACACCTCACAATTTACCAGAAATTTATTTTTCAATGTGTACTATCAAGATTGACTCATTTTTACCAGTGAGCATTAGAGGTCTGTGCTTCACATTGCTCTAAATATCCAGGGGATTATACCAAGACATAAACATGGTTTACAGAGATCTGAAATGATTCACCAGTGGATTTGGAGGTCTTTTGTCTTTATTGTGTTAAGTGTGGAAAATTACACCAATCCTACAGAATGGCTTGAAGTGTTAATTCACAGAGATGAGCTGGTGCTGGAGTGTGAAGAACTGAGCAGCAGTGTATCCATGATATATAGATGTGGAATTCCTTATTTTTATTTTCTTCAAAACAAAAACTTCCAACCTAATTTTCTTGTTTCTCTGTGTGAATCATCCTGTGGCTCCATGACACACCTTGCACAAATGGCCATGTAAAAATGGAGAGGGAAGAACTTTGTGGTGACTGCTGGAGGCCATAAAAGAACAGAAGGCAATATTAAACCTCTCTTAGTCCCAGAGGAGCTGAGGCAAACCCAGGCTGACAAGGCCTTCTTTTTCTGTATTCACGTGATTGTTACCAGCAGCACTTTCAGGTATAGAGTATCCTTTGTAGGAAACCCAGGTGTCTATTTTCAAATTGTCTAATGGCATGTGTCTACAGTATGTAACATCACTGTAATTAATACACTTATAACTAAGCTAGGCAGCTGAAAAATGGTACCTACTACTTACTAGAAAACTTGTTTCATAAAGCCTTTATTTTCCTCAAAGACAGCAAAAAGATGCTTTCTCCTTATCGCCAAGCTCTAGGTCATCACTATTATCTGTTGGAGGAGAGGGGAAAAATATTTTATTATGGGAGTCACTACTTATATTTAGCCTCTTTTGATTTACATGGTGTGTATTTTGTAAAACAGTAAAGGGGAACCCTTCATCAGTTGGTGACAGTTCAAGATTTAATAAAATTCCCCCAGTTGGGGAATGCTTCATATTGAAATTCATCCGAAGATTTAACTAATGTTGGGGTAAGGTCATCTCTTTTTCCTGATAGACCGCCTCGAGTTCTGCAGCAATATAAAACAGTTAACATAACTCGGATCACAGCAAGACAGGTGAGAAGAAGGGAAAGAGAAAATTTGCAGGGAAAAAAACAACATATGTTTGGAGTTTCTGAGCTCCACAGGCCTGGAACTCCATTTGCATGTAGTTTGGGAACTGCTCTTTAGGGAACACTGCTTGAGATACCAGCTGCTGTTTCTTGTTTTCTCCCATCTCCGCACTTTTTTTTCCAAGCTGGGGTGTGTTGTCTCAGTGAGGCAACTACTTTCTGCCTGTAGAGGTGCACTCAGGTTGAGAAGGCAAATTGCCAGTGAGGCATTTCATCTCTGTGCATTTAGACTACATTTTGGAAGAGGAAATTATCAAACCATACACATTTGCATGTTCTCACCTTTCTATAGGATCATCCTCTCCGTGAGGTAAACAGAAAATATTTAAAAGAAAAAGTTGTTTTTTCTTGAATATATAGCAAGGCCTTCGGGGTTTTCTTAATTATGCATTTTCTAGTGTTTGAACTATTAACAATGTCGAGTCTCATTTTTTCTCTGGTTTTGTTAAGAATTTCTTGGGAATCTCTAGAGACCATTCCTGGCAGCTCTTGCATCTTGGATGAAAAAGCAAAGAAAGTTGAATACTTAACAAAGGCACCCTTGGTCCCAGATGCCCATCAAACTGGAGAACTGAAAAAGTGTTTTAAAAAAAGAAAAATAATTAAAAAAAACTTAAATATTTTTAAGAATGTTTCAAAGAACTCTTTTCCACCCAATTGCTCAGATTCAGTCTCCTGGCACTTTCATCACAGTGTTCCTAGTTATCCATTCACCGTGCAATTTTCCAGTGACACAAAACCTGGTTAGCTTTTCACTTTTTCCTTTTTTTTTTTTTCTCCTCTGAATATAAATAGATGAGGGAAACAGAGACATCTTACAAGCTCCCTCTCTGCCTTCTTCATATAAACACCATAAAAAACATCAGCAGTAACAAAGCTCAGGCATGTTTTTTTCCTTTTCACCTTCAATTAAAAGGTGAAGCTTAATATTGGCTGCTGTTTTGAACATACTCTCTTATGAGTATTTGAACATACTCTCTGATATACTTTGAGCTGGTAAAGGGAAAAATGGTGAGTATTCTTCATTTTGCAGTGGTTGTCAGCCACTATCTGCTCATTAAGGTGTTAACAGCAGACATAGGATACTAGTGTACAGCTGGGAGAACATGTGGTGAGAGGTGTTAATGGCTTCATGTTATCTCACAGTAATGGTGACATTAATGAGTCTCCCCTCTCACTCAGAAAGCTTACACACTACCATGTAGTATCACTGAATTAATTACAGAATTTTCATTCTGTAATATATGATGACATGTTTAGAGCTGTCTAGAGACAATTGTTTATCATTTTCTTGATAGACACTAACAACATTAAAAATTCTCATTAAATTGTTAAATGATGGATATCTTTTCCTTCTTTCTCCAAACATTTTGCCATAAAGGCAATAATCATACTCGTTACTAAGGATGTTATTAAATATATTTATTAGTAGGAATATTTTAATAAAATCAATTAAAGGATTATATTTTTATTAGCTGTTTTGTTTTTGTTTGGTTTTTTTTATGGGGACAAGATCATCAACTATAATCAACTATAATCTTTGTGAATCCTCCACAGCCATCAAAAGTACAGGTTTAAAAATACTATTCTGATTACTGGTTTGTCTGCTTGGTTTTATTTTTAAAGACAAGAAGAATCCAAGGAAAGAAAAACACTAGCTAAAGATCACTGCTGGTATTTGAGTAGAGCCCTTCAGCTTTTCATTGCCTGTTATTTTTATCTCAGTCATGCTGTGAGTGCTTGCCATTGTGCTGAACACTGCACAAATGTATTGTGATACACTTCATGCTGAAGGTCTTTAAGGTATAAATAAACAACACAAAAAGTAAAAGGAAGAACAGAACACCATGCATCGATGTGTGTACATTCGAGGGTGAGAAGAGGAGGGAAGCCAAGCTGGAGTCTGTCTCACAGGTCTGTGCCCTGGCTCACGCTGCCTTTCTGGAGTTCCATAGCTAAGTTTACACCATGTTTTCACTGGCACAGCCTCGAGCCAGGTACAGGCACTGACTGGTGCAGCTGTGCCAGCTGAAGCCTTGTGTGTGACAGCGAAATGCCCTGTTAAAAGGTGAAAATAATTCTTATTTTAGAAATTCTTACTAAAGCAGTGTTGTATGACTACCTTTTACTCACAGCCATACTGAAATGATCCAAAATAAGATACTGATTGCGACTTCTGAGATGTTCATTCAGTTGAGTGACAATGTGTGATGAGAATCAGGAGATGCTTTTTTCTTTTCTTTTTTCCCCCCAGGAATTTGGAAAGTCTTGGGAGGAAGTGCAGTCAGAGGATGACCGGGAATTACTAGATAACCTAGAAGAGTAAGAGTTACTTATGTACCCATTACACAGATTGCAGGACCATTATTTTTTAAAGTAGTTGCAGGGAAAATGCTGTGCACAGTTAGCACACAGTTTAAATTCATTTAAGCCAATCAAATCAACTGCAAATTGTCCTCATTAAAAACACTTCTCAGCAATGAGAGCTGTAAACTTCATATTTCAACCACAAGCCTGTTTTCTGTTTCCCTAGAGCTCAAACGAAAGCCTTCTGGGTGTGTAATGATGTAGACAAAATGCATTATTCTTTAGTTTTGCACCAGAAAACAGTCAAACAGATTTTGCTCAAATTTAGAAATTAAAAGTGAGCATCAGAAATGTCAGTATGAAGAAGAAATTGTATGAAAAATTTTGATAAAAAGGTAATAACTAGAAATTTTAGAAGGATTTCAAAGGAAGCTTTTCAGCAGTGTTGATTGAGGGCAAGATCCACCTCCTCTGCATTCTTCTGTGGTCCAGGCCCTCAGATCACTGCAGAGGTGGTTTCCTTGGCCATAGAAAATTGAATAAGCAGGAAGTAATTTATGGGCATCAAGGTCCCTGATCTTCCTGGTTCTCTCTGTGACTTGAGGTTAATTTTGCATGACTCTACGTGGTTGCAGTAATAGTTCTGTCTCTCAGCAGTACTAGGATTTAAATGGATGTTTTGGTAAAGTATTCTCTGTGTACATGTCTAAATGTAGCATAAGTGAGTAATTAATATTTCATAAGTAAATAACACTTAGAGTTGCCTCTGCCTGATGATTATGACTTTGGCTGGTGAATTGAAAGATTAGAAAGGTATACAAGAATTTAAAAAACCTTAGAAAAATAAATACTGAAAGCAGTATTTAATGACTTGCCAAATTGGATAGATATTGAAGTTAGTATTCTGTTGATTAGTGCAGACAGTTTCAAGTAGGATTAAATGCCTGTCTGCATAGGAATTACCCAATATTAACTGCTCAGTTATTCTCAAATTTGTAGTTCTTTTAGACTCTACACCAGATTGTAATCATGTATCCAGCTATAAATCCACAGTGTCTTTTCCAACCCGTTAAAATATTCACTTTCTCTGGATTTATTTCTACTGTTGTGAAAGCAGAATCTGAATTGCCCTTTCTCAAAATATCTCTTCTCTTTTCCGTAACTAAATAAATCTTTTTGACTTTTATTCATAAGAGATTGGTCTGACTGGGAAGAGTATCCTGTATGTGCAGTTTGTCTGTTTTGTGAACAACAGGCAGACACCACAGAAAAACTGGATCTTCACATGCAGGTAAGATTTCTTTTAAATAACAGCTTTTTTCAGCACTTTGGAATTTAAAATTGTGTTTGTAATATCTTTATTAAGGTCAAATCAGCTGCTGCATCAGTATACCCTCTTCAGCACAGAATTGAAGTACTGCATGCACCTCCAGCATTTGTTCTTTAAAACATGCAGAGAAGTCAAGCTTTACATTAAGAGTATGAATGGCTATTAGTCGTGAGTGTACAGGCTGCTACAGGCAGTAAAAAAAAAGCATCTTTGATATCATAGTAGTTTCATGATTTAGTATATTTTATGGTTAGCATCTGTGTTTAACTTTTAATAAGCTATTTAACAGTATTAAATATGAATACAAAAGTTTCTGATGAACCAAAACTTTCGGGGTTTGTTTCATGCATTCATATTTGCATATCTGTATGTGTATGTCTGTGTCAGCCCATGAAAAGCTGAGCTGTTTTTAACTTGGAGTAGTAGAAGTAGTGGAAATAAGATTTTTTTTTTCTTCCTTTTTTTTTTTTTCTCCAGAAATCACATGGATTTCACTTTCCCAAAATAAAGTCAGAGCATGGTGAGTAAGAGGTGCTGTAATTGTCAGCATTTGCCACTAGTGTGGAGAAAACCACATCATAAGAATAGTGGAAAACAAGTTTATCGGTTTTATTTTTGTAGAGACATTTAACTTTTCCATTATGGAAACTGTTTCTGCCAGCTTACAAAAGCAAGCCAAGAACACTTTATTTTTATGGAACTGTTGTTACTGCCAAGGATGTGTGCTATTTTCTTTAGACCCATTGGATTCTTTTGCAGAGTAATCTACAAATACCTGCTCTATGAATTCCAGGTCTATCTGCTGGAGACTTGAAAGTATTATTATTTTTATTCTTCTTCTTGTTGTTATTACTATTATTATGCCTGTCAATGCCTGCTTGCAAGCTAGAAGCTTTGTTTGGCCAGTGTTTGCTTTCTGCTGTAGAGTAGAATCATTTAGGTTGTGGAAGGCCTTTAAGATCCTTGAGGCCAACCATTAACCCAGCACTGCCAAGTCCACCACTAAACCATGTCCCTGAGTGCCACATCTACACATATTTTAGATGCCTCTGGGCCTGGTGACTCAGTAACTACTTCTCTGAGCAGCCTGTGCCAAGGCTTGACAAGCCTTTTGGTGAAGAAATTTTTCTTAATATCCAGCTTCAATCTCCCCCTATCACTTGTTACTTGGAAGAAGAGACTGACCCCTACCTGGCCACAGTCTCCTTTCAGGTAGCTGTAGAGAGCTATTAAGTCAGCCTGGAGCCTCCTTTTCTCCAGGCTAAACAGGGGGCAATCCCTGCCCTGGCCTCACTATTGCTGATACAGGCCAGGGTGCCGTTGGCCTTCTTGGCCCCCTGGGCACAGCTGGCTCCTGTTCAGCTGCTGTCACCACCACCCCCAGGTCCTTCTCCACCACAGCTTCCCCCAGCCTCTAACGCTGTGTGAGGTTGTGTGACCCAGTTGCAGGACGCAGCACTTAACTCTGTCAGACATAATACACTGACATCCTGACCCAGGCTCCTCTCTAGCAGGCCTGGTTTTATCCTTTACCCCCTTCAAATCTAGTTTGAAACTGCCTCAAGGACCCTGCTAACTCCTGTGCAAGGATTCTTTCCCTGCTTCGAGACAGGTGTACCCCATCTGTCACCAGCAGGCCTGGGGTCATGTTGACACACCCATGATCCGAAAACCCAAAATTCTTCCAGTGACACTGGAAAGTATGGCTTGAAACCAGATATTGATCTGCTGGCTCTTCCTGTTTTTTCCCTTGTTATTCCCTGCAAGTGGAAGAACAGAGGAAAACACTGTTTGTGCTCCTGATCCCTTAACCAGTCTTCCCAAGGCCCTGCAGTCTCTCCTGATTGCTCTAGGACTTCTTGTTGCAACTTCATCACTGCCCACCTGAAAAATCACTAACAGATAATTACCCATGAGGGCAGTAAGGTTTCTTGTCACACACTTAACCTGAGCCCCAAGGAGGCAGCAGACTTTCCAGGGAATCCAGGGTACAATACCAGTAGTCATTCTCTCTCATTTCCCAATATTCTTCAACCTACTTGCCTGCTCCTGAAGCTCTGTCACTAAGTCTAAAGACTTAGACTGAGAGGAAGGAAAATGTTCCGAGTTTTTGCTCCAAAAGAAGGGTTGGATTCCCAGCAGCTAGGAATAAACACTTATTCAGTTAATTCGTTAAGATACAGCATGCAGGCAGTGCTGTCTTCAGTGAACTTTTATCAATCCTTATGCTTAATCCAAGAAAGCATTTTTCAGTTAAGACTTATGTTGCCCAAGCACTTGTTCACTACTGTCTCTGGCAGGTCTGAACTTCTATCAGCAAGTAAAACTAGTGAATTTCATCAGAAGAGAAATCCATCACTGTCGTTGTTACAACTGCCAGGAGAAATTTGAATCCAAACAAGAATTGATAAGTCATATGGAAGAGACCAAACACATTGCATTCCTGCCAGCCAGGTCTACATGGGATCAACCACAGTAAGGGCAAATGCATTTCTTCCAGCATTTATACTTCTTCTTGATAATTTCTACTAAATAGTTAGTTGAAAGTTCTGGGGTTTGTGAATACAACAGTGCACTGAGCTCCCTAACTCTGGTGGCTCAGATAAAATAAGTGGTCTCAGACTACTCAGAATTAGAAATCTCAGTACAGTCTGAAGACAGAAAGAACATGGAATATTGCTCTTCCAGTTGCATCCAGGATGCAGTGTCCCTTTGTATGGGATCTGCACTTTAAAGTCACTGTGCCAGAGAAGTTTGTTGTTGCAAAATTGTTCTAGAACCAAGTCCCTTCTAGAACCCCTTCTTTTGCATGTCTAATGTAGATATATGGATGATGTCTACCTGACTTCAGGCATCAAAACAAGCTGGTTGTTTACCCATAGTTTTTTCTATGGAAAATAGAGAGTGTAACACAACCCTGGTACAGACGGTTAGTCTGTAGCTCTAAGTAGGCTGTATGGGTCCAGGAAATGATGCTTTCTACCAGGTGGTAGAGCACAGGGAGTGTTCTAACTTAAACACCTCAGTTCAGCATTTTTGGGGGGGACAAATATGCAACTGTAGTCTCTTTTGTAACATCATATGGGAGAAGAAATAGGAGGAAGGGCTCATCTATTATCAGCTCTTCTCTATGACTCTTCTACACTGTGTATACCTGCACTGTGCAGTTGGTTTTTTGGGTGTGCTGTTTACTGTCATTCCAGACAACTAGACTTCCTCATTTTTCCTTTTTTAAAGTTCTTATCTCAGCCTTTCAAACAAAATGTGTCACTGTTTAGTAATCATGTCTTGTTGCTTTCAGGTATTATTTTCCTACCTATGAAAATGACACACTCCTGTGTACGCTGTCAGACAGTGAAGATGCAAAAACTGAGGATCAAAGTGAAGAAGTGCCTGTTGTAAGCGAAGACATATCCGGTCTAAAAGCTCTCAAACAGAGCAGTGTTTTAAACCAGCTTCTGTACAAAGAGAACAGGAATCAGGAGAAATTCTGACCTGGAAGTACAGTGGCTGACCCTTAGTGCTTTTTCTGCAAGACAAAAAAAACAAAAACAAAAACATTATTTCAATACTATTGGAATACAGTTAAACTCACAAATGTTATTGTCATTGGAGAATTCACAGTAGAAAATGAATGCTAAATAAAAATTTAAGTGTTAACTTTGTTGGTTTATCTTCCTTTAATTTTTAGCTTCATTTTAAAATTGAATGCTTGATTTTCTACTGTTAGTGTGTTAGTGTTACTTAAAAAAATTTCCTTTTTTTTAAAATTTTTCCTGAATGAATCAAAATATGAGTTCTATTTTAAGTCCACCTCGTGAAAGGTGGGAACAACTGAGACAATGTGTAAAGCCAGTGAGTAAATCTACTATGTGTTATTGCTGTTAGAGAGCAGACAGAAAATGTAATTCTTGGTCTGATGTGTGAAGGAAATCTTGCTAATTTTTACCTTAGACCTTTTGGAAAAGAAAAATGAATCTGTATTATTAATCATCATTATTTAAGAGATACGGTGCCTGTTCTGAAAACTAGCTCAGAAACATCAGTGAAGCTCTGCCTACCCCATGAACATCTGACTGCATGAAAAGTTGCCAATCTGAAGTCAAAAAAAGTATAGGAATAATTGCAATATTGGTTGCATCAAAATCCAAAGAATTTAGAGTAGATTTATTGTATGGTTATGAACTGAGATGTTAAAGAATGACTTAGGGAACTCCAGATGTATAATCCAAATTAAATCCTAAAAATCTCAAGTCCAGAAAAGTTGTCATATTTCCTTTAAAGTTCTCAAAGTGGCAAAGTCTCAAAAGTCTTAAAGGTCTTCAGCTTGTCCAGGAAGAATCTCAGTCTTGATAGGGTGAAGGTGCTCAGAGCATAGGTCCTGCTAGGATGATCCAAACTATGTATTACTGAAATTTTAAGTAGTTCCAGAATTCAGGTTTCGCTTTCCATAGGATGTATAACCTCTTTCTATGGTGGTAGTACATTCTTTTTACTTCTTCAGGTCAGTGTCAGAGTACTTGCTGAAAGAATGGAAGTCAGCTGCTCAGTGCCCTTCCTTGCCTGAGAAGATTCAAAGCTGTAGCTTTGCCTCTGCACAGCCCTCGTTACCTGAGAGTCCTTGCTGTCAATAAGAGTTGTTGTTGTTTGCCTTTATACAGTGAATTATGAAGCAGTCCCTGGGAGCAGGGGCTAAAGTGCAGATCTTTAGACATGTTCTGCTAAGCTTCTATGTCCCACCTAATTCACCTTGCAATCTTATTTGCATCAGTTTGTTTTCATTTGCATTGAACTGGTTTTCTCCTGTTATTACACATCACCCTCTAGCACTTCTCTTTGCTTTCTCATTCATAGTTTTTCTTAGGCCAGAATGCTCTAGAGATAAGTTAGACCAACAGGATACTGAAAATGCACTGAGTAAGACAGATCAGCCATGTAACTGCAGAGTGAAACAGAGACAGAAGCAGTATCTGACTCTGTCAAGAGGAAATGGGATAGAAGAAGTGCAGCAGGTGCTGAGAATACAGACAGAAAAAGGGGACAGGTGTAGTCATATGTTTGCTTTGGTACAAAAATTTAGGAGGAGCAAGCACAAGCCAAATATTTTTGAACTAAAATGTCCTGACCATCTTAAATAAGCTATAATCTGTACTTCTTGCATTTGTAAAATTCATGATTTCATACAGTAAATGCAATGGCTGTTGCTTTTTCTTTTCCCTAATTTTCTCTAAGCAATTATTTTCTTTCTAACTTAGAAATTTATTTTAGTCTTTGCTTTTTAGTCATATTCTTAGCTGAGGTAATAAGAGTTAATGGGGCTTACATTAGTGATGTGTGTTGAGCAATGGAAAAAAATCAGCAGAAGGACTATGGCAGCAGCACACTAATGAGTTTTATGGCAAGCCCATCTCAGGAGGGTACATTAAGGGAAACATAAAATTTTACTGATATATAATAAAGTGAAATTGCAAAACATTTCCTAATCATAAGGAATGTGATGCTGAGTCATTCAAACCCCTACAAAATGAAAACAATGTCAGCAATATGAAATGACTGTTGTTCTGGTTCTAAGAGAAATTAAAAAAAATATTTTTTCAGTGTAGAATTAGGGGACTATCTAGAGAAAATGTGTAAATAACACAGACTGGTTGTCTATTTTGAATAGAGAGGAAAAGGGGCTTCCTGAGTTCATAAGCAGTACATAGCTGTTCACTGGAAGTATCAGGAACATGAGGAGTCCGATTAGGGTTGAGCTTGTTACTTCACTTATGAACAGGCAACAAAGTAGGTTAAAGTCTTTTGTAGGTTCACAGAGAGGGTTGGTTATGTTTTCTAGAGTAAAAATCAAGCATTTTCATTTAGCACAATGATACTTGTCATTTTGCTGGAGCATACTTATTTGTACATACAATGCCCACGATTTTCCCTAGGCATTCTTGTCCTCTTATCTGTTTTAAAACTGAAGTTATTTTTTGTCTCAAATAGAGGACTCAGTAATGACTGCATATGCTTATTAGGGGCAAATATGGTCTTCTAAAAAAAAGAGTATTTTTGGAAGCATTGCAACAAAAATAATATTATAATGCCCTAATTCTTTGAGTGGACAGAGTTCAGGTTGGCAAATACTCTTGAGAGAGTCAGTCAGGAGAATGAGTACTTCTAATAGGTGTGAAAAAATCTATACTAGTTTAACTCCAGTAAACATTTCTTACAATAATTCTTCCTAGTCTAGACCTGGACTCCTTATACACACTCACTTTTCTGTGTCTAAAGCCATATTTAGAAGGACCTGGCCTGAAGGAAAAAAAATACTTCTGTCCAGGTGGCTGGTAATCCTTCCTGCCCTTTTTACAAATATCTTAATTATGTTTTTGATGCTTCTCCACACTCAGTTTAGTCTGACAAGTCTGTGCAGACTTAATCTGACTTAAGGAGTTAATGGTTGTTGGCTTCCATTTAAGACACTGTTTTCTGTTTCTGTCTACATTTGGCACGCTGTGAGAGCTGTCAGTGTCTTCTCTTAGCTGGCTAAATGGTACCTGATGTGAGAAACACCAGACTAAGCCTCTGAAAAGTCTCTCTGCTATTGTCCTTTCTCAGTATCATTGCTGCCTCTGAATTCCAGTCAGATCTCTACAAGTGAGTGAGGTGTTTGTTACAGTCTCTCTCTCTCTTTTTTCCATTTAATGGAGTGTTTGACCTAAATCTGACATGAGACCCTGAACTTTGAGCAGAAGTAAACAAGGTTACCAGTGTCCATTCTCAAATTCAAGTCCAGAGCAGACAGTGGACATAGGCCTTGGCATCATCTACTGTCTACTGCCAATGAACAGCAGTGAATTTCATGACTTTGCTCATGGCTTGATGCTGTCTTAAATATTCTTTCATTATTTGCATTTTATGTAGTTTTATACAGAGGCCAAAGATAATCAAGATCCCTGGAGAAAAATGTATTTCACATTGGCAACATGAAAAATACTGTTTCCCCAGGAGGTTTTGTCAAGTCAGGATGGTTTCTGAGGCTCTAGTTGCAATACAACTGAAGTGTTTGTTGGTCAATTATGCCCTTGTCTACCTCTGCCAGGTATGTCAGACTTGGCTAGATAACAATTGTCACATGCAAGAGGTAGTTTGTAGCCCTAGAAGGAATTACTGCTTCCATGTAGTAGTCATTAAAATCAGCTGCTGTAGAAATATATGCAGCAGTGGCTGCATGTGAAATTAATCCCTTTTCTTCATGAGCATTCAATGTGCTGTTCTTTCAAGTGCAGTTTTTTTCCGTCTGTAGGAAGTTTTCTCCTGCTAAACTGTGCTCAATTTGACTTCTTCTGCCAGGAAGAAATTTTTAGTTGCTCCTTGAATATAATTTTACATCTTTTGCCAAACTCTTGCTCATGAAGATGGATACAAAGTAACTATTTTAGAGATTAACATGTAACCTTTTATTTGAATTCACATTTGATATTTTTCACCCCTGATAAATTCACTCTCTCCATAAGAAGAGCAGGAGAATTAAGGATATTTACAACTGAAAATACTTAAGTTGGTTTTGCATAAATTTAGATAGAATAAAAGTGGTTTTCTTCCACAAATATACCTTAGAACACAATTCTCTTCATTTACTATCCTGATACTGAAAAGCTGAAAATCTGTGTGTAAATTACATATAGGTCAAATGTTGAACCTTGCATTATAATCAATTAATGTAATCTGTGGATCCTAAAGTCATTCAGCTCACCCTAAAGAAGTGCCAGTGGCAGATTTCTAGTGTTACTGCTAGAACACTGATACACTGCAATTATTCTCAGTATAAACTAATGCTTAAAAATTTTACATTTTGAGGGGGTCATGCATTTATCTGTCACATCACGAGTGTGTAGTGAAATCCCTCAGAATAAGTACAGGCAGACTTTTGGTATCACCTCCTGCCACAGCTTCATTGAGTGTCAGGAGACTTTATTTCTATGTTTTCTGGAAATAGCAGAACAATCTAGGGATAAATAATGCAGGAATTGCTAATTGCTCATTAGAGAGCCTTTGTAAACTGCCTGCCCAGCTTTGCAGAGCCAAGCACTGCTTTAACCTTTAAGTGGTTTTAGATTTTAAATTTAGGCTTCCAATTGTACTGAGGTAATTTTGTTACTCTCTGATACATATCTGTGTCTTCACACCACTTAAGGAAATATTTCTATGGATCTTCACAAATATTTGACCTGTAAACTTCTTTTTTGTTAGAATCTAGGTGAAATGAAGAGCAAATAAGCGAGGATGGAGCATAGCATTTGTGAAGAAGGATCATGAACATGTGACAATGCTTGCCTCCTGTATTTTTACTAACAGTGATTTGACATGCATTCTTTGACAAATATTGTTACTTCCCTCTTCCTCAGTTTTCTAAACAGTGAGATTGTGATTATATGATAACAACTATCAGGAAGAAAATGGCACATACGAAGATAGGATTCCACTGTATGTGTGCAGCTTACCTGCATTAGTTGGCCTTTGAAATTTGAAATACTTAGTTTAGAAGGTGACTAGATCACAGTCAAAAGGTTTCCTCATTCAAGAAGAAGAAACTTAATACTGGGATTACATTCCCATAAGGAAAATGTTCAAAAGTTGAACATTTTGAAAATGACATTTTTTTAAAAGAGGGGTTA